TTGGTTTCATATATTTCCATACAATTTATAGTAAATTTTTAATGATGAATTGCAGTGATTTAATTTCTATTTAATTATTCTTTGATTACTTACTGATAATCTGAGTACTAATATTATTAACTAGTGACCTTCTTGTTTAAAATCTCCACTGACTTAATTCGAATCCAATTATATCGATCGGTTATTGGATCCGCAAGAGGCATTTTGTTTTCGGTGTGCGTTCATTTTGTGGGCTGTTATGCAGTCAAAAGCCGTCAACTGGCTGCTTCTGTTTCATTTGATGTCTTTCTGTGTGCGTTTGCCTTTTTTTTCTATTTGTTTGTTTTTTTTTTTTTGCTATTTTTTTTATACTTTTTGCTATTTTGCCGTTTGTTCGCCATTTGCCATTTAAATGAATGCGGGCAATTTCGCGCTGGCGATGCTGCCGATGTTGCTTTGATTGGCATCTAATTTATGATTGACAGTTACAAACGTCTCGGAACAGCAACAATCGGGCCTACCGCAAAAAGATGGCAAGAGGAATACACACACATAAATACACACAAGCAAATACATATATATATCTATATATATACAATATATATATATATATACCATCTAGCCAAATAGAAATACAAACAGTCTGTGAGGCAGTCAGTGAGTAGACCTTATGGTCGGATATCGACTTAGCTCACGGTTGTCAATCAAGCTATTTAATAATTTACAAACACACACACACACACTCACCAATACACAATCGCATTTGGATGGGAATCGAATTTATGAACTAACGTCTTGATTTACGTAGTCTTCGCTGGCTGAATGCGGTTTGAAGCTTTGACACCTTGACGGGCATTGTCAAAGAGTTTCACACTCAGCAGCACTCGCACACCGGCTACTGTTCTATCGGATTACGCGGCGTATGCGCAATGTGGCCCAAGACGAAGCGATCGAGTAACGACGAACTGCCAACTGCTCACTGCTCACTGCTCACTGCTTTCAGCCAACTGCCAACAGCTAAGGTGGCAATAGTCAGTGCATTTCAGTTGGTTTTGTCAGTTAGTCAAACAGTCAGTTAGTCAGATAGTCAGTTAGCCAGTTAGTCAGTTAGTCAGTTGGTTTGTCGATTGGTTGGTTAGTTAGTTGGTTAGTCGGTTAGCCCACACATCAAAAGTTGTCTGCCCGATATAGGCCACAATGTGGGACTGTAAACAAAACGCGGATACTCGACGGAGCACTGACATAACCGCTCTACAATCGACTGATAAGAAAGCACTCAATATACATATGTATATGTTTATATATCTATGGTTGTGTTTATGCAATTGACTGGAAGGTGACAACTGCCGCAGTATTAATTGCCAATGACCCTCGCTAGGAGAAATTCATTTAGCTGCGAAGAACTAACTTTAATTAATAGTTATAAAATATTTTAGAAATTGTTAAATATCAAGTCAGAAACTATGAGTAGCTGGGAATTATCAGAAGTAGTTTTTAGAACATGCTGTTTAAAATATATGTATATTATTAAGTGAAATAAAACATTTCCACAACTAATTATGTTCTTCTTTTAATGTTCCTTAACAATTTAAACAATATGCATCTTAAAATAGGAAGAGTAAATTGTAAGCTAAAAAATATTTCTGCAATTCTACAGCTTACAATTCGATTATCTCTGAATAGTTTTCCTGAATCAAGATTTCAAAAGCACTATAAATATGTTAATTATTTAATTTCCCTAGATTTTTGCCATGACCTTCTCCGCTTTGGCCATCCGAATTTTCCTCCCAGTTCAAAGTACAATTCATGCGGAGGCAAAGGAAAACGCCTTGCACACTTTCCCCGAAAAATTCCCGCCTAGCTTTCCACTGACATACAAATCATATTATTCGGTTCAGTTCGCTACTTAGTGAGCACAGATTGTTCAAATGTACCCGCCGACTATATGGCTATATGGCTATATGGACATAAATATGCTGTGTGTGTCATGTTGCTGCTATGTTGGCGACGTTGACGTCGACGTCGACGCTGGCAGCGCTCGCTAAAACTACATAAATCAAAGGAAAAGCATTTTTCTGTTTTCTGATCGTCGTCTAGCTGAAATTTGCTTTTGTTTTTTGGTTCATTTCTATTTTCCCCAGCATTTGTTCTCTTTGCTTTTCTTGGCGATTGTTGATTGCTGTCGTTCGTGTTGTTGTTGTTGTTGTTGCTTTTGCAATGGCATTTTGTACGCATGTTTCAGACATTTAACATTTTTTTTCTATATAGACAAGAGACAGATATCGTTCATATACAGAAACACACACACGCACGCACACACTCACAGCCACCGATGGATGTGTGTATGTATATATGTATGTACATATATATATATATATGAGTTTTTTGTCTTTATTTGTTTGCGGCGGGGCCGTGAGGCCAAAACATTTATAGGAATATTTCAAATTGCAGACGACGACGTCGCTGCGAGCAGCGCCTTAAATGAGGCTGACAAAAAGAAAAACGACAAAAAAATCCAAACATAAATAAATAAAGCTGAAGGGAATCAAAATTGGTAGTAACGGAGACAGAATACCCTGCAAAATGATGTAGAGAAAATGTTTTAATATTCCACATGAACCACTTGAAACTCTTTAAACAGAAAAATTATATACAATTTATCCATAACCATTCCAAAATAGTAAAGGTTTATGAACATTTTTAAATTCTAGAAACCACAAACAAATGTAGTAATTTTTTCGTTTAATTTTTGAAAACATAAATAAAGAACGTAAAGCTATTTCGAATACAATTATTGCTAAGCATTTCTTATTTAGTTTGTTATTAATTTGTTAAATGAGATGCAAAACTATTTTGAATTATTAAATGCATCCTCACTCAGAAATCAATCATTCCTTTTCATTACTCGTTTTTCTTTGATGTTAGCGATTCCCTAACCTTTAAACACATCACTATCCAAAATAAATATTTCTATATAATTAAGTAGAGAAAATCCTCACACAATGTTTACCTGAACGCTTTAGGATTTAGAATAGATGCTAAAATGATAATATCACTAAAAAAAAAGAACAATTTCGATGTGGTTAAATTTAGAGGAGAAGCCAATTTAGATGTTTATTTTAATTTTGTGCAAAACTACAAATTTACGAAGAGATTTAGGGAAGACCTAGCCCCGAACCCCGAACCCCGAACACCGAAAAGAACCCTGGAATAGATGTTAGATGAGTATAGTATATTAAGTATGAAATTAATGGAAAATGCGGTTAAAAGCCAAAGCGTGTTGTTGGCTTTTCTTTTGTTGATGCTGCTGGCATCTGTCTATTTTCGTTCATATTATTTCATACGCCTTACATTCTTCGTATTCGTATTCGTTATTCGTATTTTATGCTTTTAATATACCGAAAACTATTTTAATATGTTTTATTTCTATTTCAAATGTGACACAAATGATTGTTAATGATATCGCGGGATGTTATTGTCTGCATACCCGATCGACTGGCGACTGGCGCTCTGTCGCCTTGCTGATAATAAAATCAAAATTCACAACTCAAATCGAAAATAAAATCCAAAATGAAAATGAAATGGAAATGGAAATGGCAAGCAGACCAATTAATTAACAAAAGCCCCATGCAAAACCGCAAAAATTTTGTCACATACCACATAATACGTATAGATTGTTGTTTGAGTCGGCAGTTCCAATTCGAATTTTTCAGTTTGTCATATTTTCCCACATTATTTATTAGCAATACTTAATATATAGTTGACGATGGTTCATTTTTTCGCCTTGGTTCTGTGGTGATCCGTCCTGTTCTGCTTTTTAATTGCGCTAACACGTGCCGCCTGCTATATGAGTGGACATTTATAATGTTAATGCGATGATATATGGAATGTTTCGGCCATAAAGGGACTTCTTTCTGGCCAACGGAAGAGTCTTTCGGGTGGAAGGCAAATAAGTTCGCAGATTGAAAGGCAAATTCTTGTTGCTTCACTTTATTTATCTCTGAGTAAGGTTCCAATTCCTGACTCTCATGGGATTTTATCGAACAAAACACTTTTCTAGGCATTTCACCATCATAAAACTTAGTTATTTTCAGAAAAATATGGAATTCCTTGGCCTAAAATGTTGTTCAGTTGTAAAGAAATTTAATGATCCTAAAATTCTTTTCTTGACCGAAAATGGAATGCTACTTACAAACATGTAATGCTACATTTTCGAGACTTTTTACTATGGACCTCTTTGAAACTGCCAAAAATCTTTTCTTTGTTGATATATTTTTTAATCTTGTAAGGTTTTACTATACTTTAGCATTGGGTTTTAACAAGTAGGTTCAGTAAGAAGATTAAGGTAAAAAAAAAGATTTTAAAACCAAACCCAATAAAATTAAAAATATGTAAAAATCTTTGTTAGGGGTTCTTACATTTTAGGGATTCCATGACTTAAAAACCTGATAAAATGGTTGTTGTGCCTTTTCGACTGAATTTGCGATTGGCCAAGGGGGAGAATCTGCGATTGGCAGAAAGAGAGAGGAAAAGAGGGAAGAGAGGGACGAAAGGATGCGCTGCTCACGCCCACGCAGCGGCGTTGGCAGCGGAAATTTGCACAACCACAGTGTGTTTATGGGTGTGTGCGAGCGAGAGGCAGAGTGCCGGTTGGAAACATGTTGCACATGGCAACGCAACATGTTGCCGAGCAAGTTGCGCAGGCGCAGCGACCGCGACGCCGAAGCGTTGGCAGCGCTGCTTGCCGCTCGTTCAACTTGAAGTTGCGTCGTTCGTCATCGCATAAGCATCTCTTTGACACGCGACTCGCACGCACACACCTGCATTCGCGAAAATTGCAAGCCAAAAACAAACACACGAGCGCAGCCAGCCGAACCGAACGAACGATCGTGTGTGTGTGTGCGCGCGCGCGAGAGAGAGAGAGAGAGGGAGCGATTGGGAGAGCGAGCGAGAGAGAGGAATAGAGAGTGGAGGAGAGAGCGAGCTGGCGCGCTGCCTGCGTCGCTGCCGACGTCGCCGCTGGCTTGTTGGTAGTTTATTTATTCAACCGCCCGATACCGTGTGGACATTATTTTACCAAGCGTTCGCAACCGCACAACAACACGGAGAGCGAAAGAGAGAGGGCTAGAGACCTAGAGACAGAGAGCTAGAGAGCGCTACGATCCAAAATCCATATAGACACGGCGGTTCGCACCGCCAGCTATCTAGTAGATAAAAAGTCGCCGAGAACGCCGAACCGCTAACGCAAACGCCAAACGCTAAAAGCCAAAAACTCGCGTTGCCGTTGTCGTAATCCCCATCCGAGATCGACTCTATTTTCCAGAGCATACAATATATATACACACCACAGCCGATCCATATATACATATAGTGGTGTTATAGCAAGCCAAACAAGCAAACAAAAAAATATCTGAAAATAATAATAGAAGTAAAGAAAACAAGTCTCGAAACTGAAAACGAAAAACGCAAATTTATGCAGCCGCTAAATATAAAAACAAAACAGCGAATAAAAAACAAACAGCAAATAGAATAAATCCAATAAATCGGCGCGCGAAACTCGCGTGTGTTATCTAATCTGCAAGAGAAGTACAAGAATCGGAATCGGAATCGGAATCGGTTCTATACTATATCTATATCCATTGAGTGTGTGTTTGTGTGCGTTGCGACCTTTGTTTTTATATATTTTTTGTTATTGTTCATAACTGTGTGAAACGTGCTTTCCAAGCCGCTCATTTTTGAAATACTACAAAAGAAATCAATCGAAGAAGTCCAAAAAAAGCTAAAAGTAAAAGATAAAGATAAAGAAAATGGCCAGCAAGCAAAGGAAATCAATCGGAATCGAGTGGGCCACGGCCACCGGCACAGTACCGCTCCTGGAAAGGAGTTGCAGCCACAACGACACTGAGGACACCACCACCACAAGCACCACCGCCGCCACCACAAGCACCACCCCCACCCACAATTGCAGAAGCCGGGAAAGCTGGGAGAACAACAACAAGAAGAGCGGAGCCGCCAGCCCGGTGATCCGCCACCTGCGACACCTGCTCATCGCCGGACTGATAATCGTGTGCTTGGTGGGCGGGACGGAGGGCCGCCGGCATGCGCCGCTCATGTTCGAGGAGTCCGACACGGGCAGGCGGTCCAATCGACCAGCGGGTAAGTCACCTCCAACTACATATTCCTCCATCTCTACCATATCGTATGTCAATTGCCATTTTTCCCCCTCGCCTTTTTTTTTTTGCATTTTCCCTCTTTTTTCCGACTTGCTAAGTAACCGGGGAACAAACAGCGCCGGCTGCAAAAATAGAAAACCCAACGAGCTCAGATATTCAGCCATTTCAATTTAAAGTATTCTTGAAGTTAATGGTTTTTCCAGGAGATTAGATAGGTTGTAACTTTCCAAATAGAAACGGTTATCATCGGAAAATCCCAAACCAGCAGTTCTTAATTTAATGCAGAGTACCCACAATTGCTTTTTAAAACAGTGTCAATTCTTAGAAAAATACCCATAATAATAGATTTTAAAAGTCAGTAATATTCAAAAATATGTAAACTACTAAAGTGTGGGAATTAAATTCGTATAGCTTTTTAAAAATAGGAAAGCCAGAATTTTTTAAATGCGTGAGAACCAGAAATTGGGAAGTCGCGTTTTAAAATATATGATTTCTAATATTTGCAATGTCATATTGTATATCAATGTCATCAATCTCTATAAACCGAAAAAGGGAAGATATAATTTAGGGAAATTCTAGACCCATCCACCCAGCACTTCTAATATTTCTTCCTTGCCTGTGGTTGCATAACTTCCATTGCCCATTGCGCATACGCCGTGTCGGCCGCCGTCGGCAGTTGTGCGGCTCTATGGCCCATCGGCTCACAGGCCATATACCCTATACGGTCGTACTGGCTTTCGGTGCGGGGAAATCCCCGCAGGTAGAATTCCAGCCGGTGGCGAGTCGAGGCGGGACCTGCTCGCACCTCTAATCCCGCCAGGGGTCGGGATCCGGGATATTCCCTATTTTCCTCCTGCTTCTTCTTCTTCTTTTTTTTCTTTTTATTGTACGCCCAATATTTTGTGTTTGCTAATCCGGAAAGCGGGAATTCCCTTCCGCTTGCTGCCTGCGTTGCGCAGACGCACCGGCGACCGTAAGCCGCTTACCAGATAAATATACATATATTGTACTGTGCACATTGTATGCACAGGGAAGATATATAGACCGATCGGGGCAACTGGAGAGCGGCACCCAATTGCAATTTGTTGCAACTCACACGCTTGATTAGCTGCATTTCCTGTTTGCGGAGCTCCCCGGCTCCCTGTACCACATATATCGCATACTATTATGTTCCCAACTTGCCGTTCTGCCCCTTCCCCCTCCTCTGAATGTTTTTTTCTTGGTCCGCTGGCGTTGTTGCATTTTCAATTAAAAACAGATTGCGGTTTACGTTGCAGCGCGACTTTGAAACGTTTCTCGGCTTACACACAATGCAGCCCGATCGTAATGATGATTAACAGGTTCTGTTAGGGTTTGCTTGCTGCTCGGTGATCACGGCTTGGTGCCCTGTAGATCCCGGGGATTTGTGCCGGAACCGGAACGAATAATGATTGCACCTCGGGCGGGGCATTGCTTGCACAACCCAAAAGCTTAAAGTTAATCTGGCAGGTTTACGTCTTAGCACTACCGCAAACAGTCATGGAGGATGATATAGTACGAACTTCCAGTTCGAATATCTCGGTATTTAAGCCATCTGGCTTAACCATTTCCTTGGGATACCTAAAATCCCAACCCACAAAACGTTTTATCAAAGTTTCCCCCAAATCGTTGGTCGTTTGCACAATGTTGCCACGGCGAAATGAGTTGAGTTGTCGGTTGGTAATTGGTAATTGGTTCGGGCCACGCTCTCTCGTGGGCAATCGTATGCTCGTAGATGGCACACTTTGACGCCCACGCGCGACTTGCATCCTACCCACCCATTTGGCACCCACTTCCACTTCCCGGGATCTCTGTTTATACAAAGTCTTAGCATAATTTAGTCGTTATATGGCTGCGAGCCCCCAACCACCAGACACACTTATCCGTCGTTGTTGCCCCTTTTTTTTTGTTGCTTCGTTTTTTTTTTTTTCTCGTTTTATTTTTAAAGAATGAATGAAAAGCCAACGCACCGCGCCGAGTAGCAACAACTACCAAAACAGTTCTTTTTTGGGCGTCCGCTTCTTTTTTCCCCCTCCGCCTCTTTGAATTTTTTTTTTTATTTTTTGCTGTTGTATTTTGTGGGTTTCGGAACCCAACTGGTGGCTAATCAAACGTCAAAGACCACGCAGACGGAGCCAGCAAACTACCAGCCAATTCGTTTTGTTCATTTCGCATTTAATTTAACTGATTAACAAGCTGACCGACCCCTTTGCCATCTAAATCCCCCAAACCCTCAAGTTCCCCCTTATCCCCCCTTCCCCTTCCCCTTCTCCCAAATCCCCATTCCCCATCGGCAGCCCACGGTGCCGCCATTCGTCAGCATAATTCATTTATTCAACTGTCTGCCGCCCAGTTAGGTGTTAAAAAGTTGTTAACTTATTTTTAATGAATGCGTGTAAAAAACACAACACTCACACAACCAAGCGGACGTTAAAAAAAAACGCAAGAAAAAACTCCAAAAAAAAATAACGTAAACCGACAAAAAAAAAATGAATCCGAAAAAAGGCAACGAAAAAGATCAAGATGTGCCTACGTAGAGCAGCCCCAACAACAACAACAACAACAACAACAAAAAGAACAACAACAAGCCGCCGGCAACGGCAAAAAAAATCGTTCCGTTCATTTCGTTTCGTTTTGGGATCTCGGCAAACATATCATGATCATCGGCGGCAGCGGCAGAAAACGAAACGCGAAGAAGATGGAAAAAGAGCTGGATGGCCAAAGCCGAAGCTTTAGATACTCTCTTCATAGGTAGAGTCAGGATACGAGCTTTCATATCCCTGACTAGAAATGCCAAAAAATCTACAAAGGATTCTTGGTAACAAAAAGCTTAAAGTCAGCTTGGGATGCCTAAAAAATCAGAAAATGGTTTCTATTTATACAGAATATTGTATTTACCATTACTCTAAAAGGTATTTGTTTAGTTAGCTAATATATCTTCTGATTTTAGTTATAACCAATAGGAATATTGGTTGCTCTATTGTAGCTTAAAACTGAATGAAAGTACACACATTTCCTGCCACATTTTGTGGGCCTCCTAGTTAGAGTATTTCCGAGTGTGGCGGGGATTCGGCACGAATCACGTTAAGAGCGAGCTGGGTCTAAAGCCAAAACCAAAGCCAAAACCAAAACCAAAGCCGAAGACTGTCTGACGTTTGTTTGGGGCCGTCTGCGACAGCCACCCGAAATGAGCCACCGCCGCCGTCGTCGTTGTCAGTTGCATGTCAGCTAGCCAAAAAGGGGGAAACGGCTCGATTCGGTGGTGCCCCCCCCTCCCCTTTTTCCCCCTCTCCACCCCTTGTGAAAATGCAACCAATTTGTTGCATTTGCCACACAGACGAGCCGAGGAGGAGACGAGGCGTCGCCGCATCGTGTGGGCAGAGGAAGCACTTAATGCCCACAAGGTGTCAAATTGCAGAAAACTCCGCTTCGCCCACCCCGAAAAACCAACCAACAACAAAAAATAGGGGGGAATTAATACACACACCAAAAAAAAAAAAAGAGAAAAAAGAAGAAAAACTCGACAAAAAATCAGCCTATGTGTCTGGCGTAAATTAATTTGGCCAAGAGCGTAGGCAAAATAGATACGATACGATCTCATTGAATCGAATCCGTAGGCTCCGCGCCGTTTCCGTTCCAATGAATGAAGTTGCAATTTGATTGGGTCGAAAAGCGAAGAAAAAAACAAAAACCCTTAAAAGACAGGAAACCTAAAAAAAAAAATAGGAAAAAAAATGGTAAGAAAAGATAGTCATAGAGCGGCGAAAAGTTGACAGCTAATAACAGATTTGTGCTGGGCTCTTTTTTTATGGGCGCCATCCATCTGCGTCTCTCGGTGGCATTTGCCATGCCTTTCATTAGCACATGCCGCATTCTTGCCATGCATTAATTATCAAGGCGCAATCAGCGCCACACAGTTCCCCCCCTGAAAAACCCCCCTCTTTCCCCCTTCCCGCACGAAAAACCCCCCTCATGAGAAGACCCATTTCTCGGGCCTTTCTCTAAATGAGAGATGCATTCGCACGCATCATCTAAATTGCGGATCGCTGATAGTCGTTCAGTCGGCAGAAAACGCTCTGAAAAAAGAACAACAACAACAATAATGATATGAAGGTTCTATCAGTTGTTGAGCATCAATTTGCCATTTTTCTATGGCTATTTGATGGGGGGAAATAAAATTCAATGGGCTCTCTTGTCGGTGTTGCAAGGCTGAAAGTTCAACGAGAATGGGAAAACAACTGGCTAATTTACTAAGTAATTCGAAATTAATCAACAGAAATTGGTTCAGCATTTAAGAAAGTTCAACAGCAACAAAGTTGTTCTTTTTCCTTTACGATAAATATAGGTATTTGAATAATTTTCTAGAAAAAGCAAACAGGCCCTAAAATGTATTCAATTAAATGGGGATGAAAAGCGCAAAAATATTTCATAGATGTGCAGCAAAAACCCTTTGATGACTATTTCAACAGCCGGTCGAAAAATAAAATTAAATGTGTTTTGCATACATTTCGCCGCCTTTGGCTCTCAAAACGATATATTTTGTGTAAAAATTTCTGGCGATTTTTGTCGCCAAACAAACCATTCGCAATTGGGCATGCAATTGCATAGCTCGACAATTAAATTTACCCTTTAATAGTCGCACATGGGGCAAATCAAATCTTTCGGTTCGTATTTTCGTGCTAAAAACGCCCACCAAAAACCAACAAAAAAAAAAACCAAAACAAGAAGAAAAACCCAAAAACGCCCGCAAATCGCGTGTCGCGTGACGCGTTTTTAGCCGGTTGTTGTTGCTACTATTGTTGTTGTTGTTGCTGTTATTGTCTGCCCATTCATTGCAACCCCAAAAAAATACAAAATAAAAAGGAATAAAAATAAAAATAAAAAGAATACATCCTCAACATATTTGTGCAACTTATCAGCGCATTTAAAATTAGCTAGCAACAACAACAGCAACAACAACAACAA